TTCAATCTATGAATTTCCGCGAGGGGGACGCACAGAAAAACTTTTACTGAACGGAGAAATTTATAATAAATCTTCAGGTAGTGAAAAAGTGGTCAATGAAAGAGCTTTTCTTCGGGAAATGTTTGACTTAGCCCAAGCGGTTATGGGATTTGAGTACGCAACTACTGGGACGATATAATAGTACATCACTGCATCACTCGACTCGTAATCCAAGAATTGAAAACAGGCGAATTTGTCTTTCATACAGAGAGGCACCGGAAATGCAAGGATTCCTGAATAATTCATTCATCACTGCTCAATTTTCTCGTAGCTCATTTGACAGTTGCGGTCGAACAACCTAAATTTACCATTCCCGTAACCAGCTACAATCTCATCATTGCATAATTGGACTATTAAATAATGAAATTGTAATATCTTAAACAATTTTGATAGAGAGTCCATGAGTCGTGGTGATGGTTATGCAATATAGATTAGCAGGTAGGGGCATGTTCAAATTGTTGGTTAAATTTTTCTTTTCTTTAACAACTCCTTCCTCTCATCCGAAAACCTATTGTAGACGGTGAAGTGAAATGGATGACTTTGATTGTTCAACTGGTTGTTTGACAGATTGAAGAGTTCGTTATCGTCGGTTGGATTCAAATCCACGCATGAATGCCGCTCACGCTTTTTGTACAGCGCACACCTCGTAGCTCAGTTGGTAGAGTGTGCGTTGTACAAAAGACGCAGGTGGCATCCATGCGTGGGTCCAACTCCCGCTGATGCTACTGAGCTTCTCACAATTTCATCATAGGTTTTGGTTGTGTTTACAGTCACATTGGATGCATAGATTCAAGACTAAATGGATTCACGTTCTGGGTGTCATTAGTTATGGTAACTAATTCAAACGATACTTGCTAGTTCTGCCTGGTAGTCGAGGGGGTTGTGATCATGATGGTGGTGGTGATGGTGGTGGTGGCGATGGAAGTGATGGTGACGGTAGTGATGGTGGTGGTGGTGGTGGTGATGGTGCTGGTGATGGTGGTGATGGTGGTGATGATGATGGTGGTGATGATGATGGTGGTGGTGATGGTGTTGGTGGTGATGGTGTTGGTGGTGATGGTGGTGGTGGTGATGGTGGTGGTTGTGATGTTGGTGATGATGGTGGTGGTGATGGTAGTGATGGTGGTGGTGGTGAGGTGGAGGATTAGGAGGAGATCATATGAGGAAAAGGTAACCATTCTTCAATTATAGGATCAATGAACTTGATTGAATAGAATCATCGTTTTTATTGCACCCGATTATAAAGATAATAAAATATTTTGTCATTTGCGTTGTGTGGTGACTGGAGATCAGTATGTGCCCATGCTTTTTAAATAGAAGTGCTGAAAAGGTATTCAAATGGGAATGAGTATTTGGCATACATAATAATCTTTGGTGTTTTTTTCAATCGATATAAAACGAAAATATGGATCAATCTGTTTGTTGTAGCACATGATACTCCAATTAGAGATCTTCCATCAAAAGAAGCATAATGAATGAATAATTTAAATACCGAACAGAATACAACTAAATAAATGCAACAAAAAGTGTTTATGACAGGAGTGGAGGTTTTCTCGTCGATTATCTAATGTTTTAATCGTGTAAATGAGGCATGAACCGAATAGTTCAGAAGCACCGGATAGCTACTACTGAGGTGAGCGAGTTGCGATGCTCACAACTAGCTCGCAAAAATGGATTGTGCCATATTGTGCATATTTAAAATGAGAAACCGTCTGATCAGCTGCCCCGGTCTGGCCGAGAAGGTAGTAGGTTTGCGTTCTGCCAGTCCCGGGTTCGATTCCCAGTTGGATCAAGGGATTCGTGCACTGATAGGATGAGACTCAACCAGGTAGAAATAGCTGTCCAACTGTGCTTCCCATACATTCATACATACATACATACATACATACATACATACATGCGTACGTGTTTTATGTGAGGTAAAATAGAAATTGAAATCGATAAAACCTCGCCTTATCTTCCTTCATACACCGTTTTTTAACAAGCGATCCTGCTTCTAGTCAAACCGTGTTCAAACACACCTGTGTGTCTGTATAATAAACTGATCAAACAGATCAAGATAATATTGCTACGCTCAAAAGATGCATTTTTAACAATTCGATCAGTTGAAATAATTTCCTGCGGGGGTCCCGATAAATTTCTTTGTTATCAAGCGTATAGAATAAGACAGTAAGGTTGGCTAAATCCAATGCCTCTTTTATGCTATCAGAAATTTTTATCTTTGATAAAGCCTCTATGTGTGTGACGTAACTCGTGTAGTTGTCGCACTCGATACAGCCATAACCTCCCTGGGATCCAACTTGCTTCTCCGGGGAGGGGGGTGGCGTATTTGTTCATTTCCACGAATTAAAGACCCCCATCTTTCTCTGTTGACAAAGACATGAAAGCAATTCAGCAGTATGCCTGAGTGTATTTTCTCATTTACAATAAAAACGAATATTTCTTGAATCATTTCAATTGTTGAAGTTGGCAATATTTTACACTTGCCTGATATAAGTGAGCTATTTCGCTCAGATAAACCAGATGTTTCTGTGGTTCCAGCCGAGATCCCGCGGGGCCAAAACAATGTGTATCACACTATCGTACCAAATTTGATCACTGTGATCAGTAAATTTAGCAAAAATGTGCACGAAAACATCATCGCGTGGTATTTGGCTACGAACATTGAGGGAGTGCATCAGGACTTCGAAAAAAAGAATAATAATCTCTAAGCTCCTCGAGAAAGAACAATGGTATCTGAAAAATTGAGAAGTAGCTCGCAGTTTTTATGCTTTCACGCTAGCAGAATACATAAGTTTCATGAATATGAACGCCGTGAGATGCACAAAAAATAAGATAAACGCTGTATGCTACTCATGAGTAGTCTAACGGACACAGGGGAAGAAACATCTAATTACAAAAAGTAATTAACAATTGTTCTCATCGATTTTGTAGGCATCATCAATAACAGTACCCGTCCATTGTATCTTCCGTGGACCAAAGTAGAAACATCGTACAACCAACGCAAGTATATGGTCCACGGGACTAACGAAGGGTTGACAAAGTGATGGAATACGGCGCATTCTCGTGCAATTCCATCTTTACGAGATCAGTGAACTTCGTAAACATCACAAACACCAACTGCTGACTAGGTTCTATTCCCGAAGGAATCTCCGATGCGTGTGGCTCATTAAAAAACACTTTAAATCCAAATTCTGACCGAGTTGTCTTTATGGAACTAACATGAAAAGGAACGGTTCAGTGGCCCTCGTGATATGATCCCGGATGCGTTCATGTTGATACAAAATTTCAAATTATTCGTAATGTGGAAAGTACGATAACAATTTATCCGTTCTGGATGAAATTCCCCACAACATAGGTCTACTACATTTGGCAGTCTCCGACTGCGTCCTATTTTTTTAGACTTTTTTGGTCTCTCCGGCAAAAAAGAAACTGAAAAAAATGAAAGATATTTTTTTATGAAATGAGCAAAAAAAATGCAGTAACCCGACAGGATTTCCTCGATACTGGATTGTCGATGAATCGTCTTCCACCACAGGTAGTAAATTACAACATATATCTGGAAGTGTGTTGGAATTCACTCATCATGTAAAAATTATGGTTTTTTAGGCTAGCGATAGGACATGGGAATGTCTCTATCCCACGATTGGTTGACTGGATTGCTGACAACCGTCTCGATTGGTTAGCGGTTCCGACCAATCATCTGAATCCACTTATCCCTTCTCTGATTGGTTGCCTCAGAACAAAGCAGTTTCCAGGAAGCGTGCGATCTCCCTCGTCTGGATGCACCACCAGCAACCCGTATTAAACCAATCCACTGGGATTCAAACCTGCTTTATGACGTAGTTTATTCGGGTTGGCCTTCAATAACTTGTCTCTTGTTCAACTGTTCACGTGAAGATATAAATAGTATCATTCAATACCACCGCGATCACATTCACAAATGACCCACATGTGATCACTTTTTTATGAAGCATATAGAACATCCCGGTAATTAATTCTTAGACGAATAACCATTTTGTAATTTCACACTCTCCTCTTCATTCAGTTCTTTCCCTTTTCCCTTTTCTTTTGTTCACCCCCGCCCTCACCCCATTTGATCGAATAAAGGAGTTTGCGTGCCTTATGGGCCTATCTACGCTCGCAGGGAATCTCACCTGCCCCGGTTTGGTCCAGTATTAAAGATGTGGTCGTCAAGACCGCGATCAGTACGGAGGCCGCGTTCAATGCGGCTGTCAGTTCATATTGCAATCATTCGTGTTCCGTGCACGAGGTGTTCGGATTTGATATTTTTCTAGACGAAGATCTGCAACCGTGGTTGCTCGAGGTCAATGTGTCCCCGAGGCAAGTTGACACTTTGATCGAGTTAAAGAATCATTGCTAACCACTTCTTAATTGATGTTGTCGGTTTTTAATTGCGTGCGAATGTGTACTACAAAATCTCCTCCGTCTCCTCTCTTTGAGATATCTCTCATCCACGGCGAATGGTGGCCAGTTTATTTCTCCAGTAAAGGGTAATCGATCAACAAACGATAAATTCAAGCAAACCGACGGCTAGGTTACTTGACGCCAAAGTACAGACAACTTCAAACGTACGGAATGACGTGTAAAATTGTGATACAGTCAAATTAAAACAGAAGTGAACAGTTATAAACACGGGAAAACAGAACAGTAGTAAGAAGTTACTGAATAAATAATCGTTCGACTTCTGTAATCTGTCATTTGGCAATGAATACTATTTTGTACAGTCAATGGATATTGTGATTTATAATCAAACTACTTAAACATTTGTAGTAGTCAAATCGCAAATGCTGAAACATTGGAATTCTCTTCTGGAGAATTTACACAAGCTATGGAAAACGACAAATGCCACGAGAAGCACATTAATTGTTTTCTCATAATGGCACAGTCTATTCTGCAACTTGTCCATACTACGGTCCCCAAAATTGAAGCAGTCTGCCAGGTCAACGTCACACCAATGCACATTCTTCATCGCGGCTTGTCACGCTGGGCAGAGCACTTCAAATCACGGTTCAATCAACCTCCCGCGCTGGTTACCTCAAATCGTTCTCTTGAGAGTGCATCTTTGTCACTATCCACAGGACTGCCCACAGAAGCAGAGATCTTAAAGGAACTGCAAGGCTCTGAAACACCACAAGACGGCTGAATCAGACGACTTGCCAAAGACTCTATTTAAAGATAATGGAGAACCTATCGTGTAACGGCTTGCTCGAAGATCTGGGAAACCGTACCTGTATTCCACACATGGAGAGAGTTGGTTATTGCACCCATCTTCAAAAAGAGCTGTCGCAACGCCTGTTTCAATTACAGGCGCATAAGTCTAACTCCAATAGCGCCGAAGCCACTAACGTCCGTTTTATTATGCAGATTAAGCCCATTTCACGAAAGGCAAATCCGTGAGGAGCCGGCTGGGTTTCGTGCACACCGTGGTTGCATAGATCAAATATTCACCGTGCATCAGCGACAAACGACAAACTGTTATCGTGTTTTTGGACATCAGAGTGACTTTTTCTACTTCATCGATTTTTCCGTAATGTGGAGTACTCGAGATATATGCTCTGGTACTGAAAGCACTCTACCACCAGACCTAGGGGAAAGTTCGGATCTGTGGTGACCTCTCACCCTCATGTCCTATCACCACCGGGTGTGAGACCTTGCATTAGATAGTGCTATACAAAATGTGTTACTCAGCGTAAAGAACGCTGAGGTAGAGCTTTTTCCTGGAAACAGAGTTGTAGACTTAGAGTATGCCACCAATACTGTCTTACTCAATGGCAACGCACCGTCCTTGTAAAGATTAATGCCTTATATGCTGATTGATTGATTGATTGATTGATTGATTGATTGATTGATTGATTGAGTGAGTGAGTGAGTGAGTGAGTGAGTGAGTGAAATGCCTTTCAAATGCTTTCGATGATGCGTCATTGACCGTAATTGCAAGATGTGATCGGGAAAAGTGTACACCATTAAAAAAACAGGGTAATTTTGAAGGCCGAATGATGTTGATAAACTAGATGGCGTTCTATTGGCCTGTATCGTCAGTACCTGCGCGAATTGTGGCTCGGCTTTTATGCGACATAGATCATAGACCGAAGGGGATTTGCGCGATGAATTCTCAGTGGGGGCGGGCGGACGGGCGGGCAGGGTGAACACGCATTAAACGAGAACGTAAAAAACAAACATTCACGTTCAGTTTCTGTTTCTGTTTTTACAATCCTTATATAACACCGGCCTACGGACAAGCATGGTGTCAATGCTATAACAATGCTATAAAAATAACATTCTCAGGGGATGGGTGGATTGACTTTGAATACAAACAGAGAGTGAAAAGGAGGTTAAATATGTACTCTGTTTGATATCATTTTGTGTTAGCCTACCGTTTATTTACGGGGCACGGGATTTATACAAGCAGACTACACAGCAATCGCCTTGCTGATTTCTATTCTGGGTCATATCTTTTAGCGTCCCTAAGCAACGACAATCCTCATCTTTCGGGGCCCAAACCTGGAAAGCAGGTTGCACGAAACGAAGCCAAATCTGAGGCTAGCTTTTTTATACCTCTACGTCATGTCGTGGTCTGACCGCCGCGGCGCTTCTTCCAGCCTTTCTCTGCACGTACAAACAGCACATAGAAAGATAGCCCCGAAAGGCAGATGTATGCAATACGTGACCGAACCATCGGAGGCGGTGTGGGTCGATTACTTCTGTCAGAGAGGGACTACCGGCGTCCAACACACGAAGACGAACCTTTCAATAAAGGAACTGCTCTTCCCTTTGTCTTTTCCTCGCTTCTCGGTTACGTGGGATACTGTCGTGCTAGTACCAGTGTAACTCAGTGCTTCCATGGCTTATGTGATTTCTGATACGTGATTCGTAATTCGTGATCAGTGCATATTACAATTACAATATTACAATATCAGAGCAGATATTTTCGGAACTAGACGAGAACAATCACGTTGTTGTTTCTGTTGTTCCCCGTGACTCGGTTCTAGTTACAAAAGGCCGCTTTTCGGTTTAACCAATGAAATATTTCTTGTACCGTTACGTGTTGTACGGC